CACTTTGCGGGACCACAGGTTCAAGATATTATTGATGACCTACTTGACCCTGACGATGCTCTGCCAGAGGAGCAGAGGACCCCGAATGATAACGAGTACCTGAAATGTAAGCGAATTTTGGACGCGCATTTCGCAGCCCCAGCAAACCCTACCTACGAAAGGCATGTGTTTCGCCAGCTGGTTCCGCAAGCAGAAGAGAGTACGGCGCATTTCTGCAGCCGTTTGCGGCAGCAGGCTAGATTATGTTCCTTTGAGAACACTCGCCAGACCAATGAGGCAGTCCGAGACCAAATCGTAGCAACGGTGAGGAATGTTGACTTGAAGAAAAAATTATTGTCTGAGCCGTCGTTGTCAGTCGATCGAGCATTGGAGCTCTGTCGCGTCTGGGAGGATGCACAGTCACAGTCTCAGATGATGACTAGTCGTGCTGTTTCTGCTGGAGCTGGAGCATCGGAGTCCGCGAGTGATCATGCTGTCAGTGCAGTTACGTACAGGAGAGGCCAGCACCAGGGCAAGGCCAGGGGCCAAGGCAGACACCACCCAGCTGCTGGTACACGTGTCAGTTGTTACAGCTGCGGTCGCAAGGGACACAAATCCGGAGATGCTTCATGTCCAGCTAAGGGACAGGCATGCAGGAAGTGTGGCAAGACAGGTCATTTCGCTAAGTGCTGCAAGTCAGGATCAGCGTCGCAGACTGCCGCCCATCATGTGCGCGAAGTCACGGACTACGAGGTGTCTGATAGTTTTCGTGTTGGCCAAGTGTCAGCTGGGAAGCCAACATCGAACATGCTAATCACCACAGTGCAGATCAACGGTACTCCATTGGATTTGGAGGTGGACACCGGATCCATGTACACTTTGGTGCCGCAAGACGTATGGGAGCAACATTGGACACATGTTGCCTTGCGTGAATGTTCTGTGCGACTGAAGACCTACAATGGTTCAGTCCTGCCGATTGTTGGCGAAGCAGATGTTGATGTACGCTACAGCGCGCAGAATGTTCGTGCGCGGGTCATCGTAGTACGTGAAGGCAGCCATCCGCTGCTGGGACGCGACTGGCTATCACAGTTGAGACTTGACTGGCAGAGTATGTTCAACCGGGTGAACGCCACTGCAGCGAGTGAGCCAGCAGCAGAGGATGCGTACCCTGAAGTATTTCGTGATGGTCTGGGCAAAGTGAGTGATCGTGAAGCTGAGATCTACCTGAACGACGGTGCCACTCCCAAGTGCTGCAACCCCAGACCCGTGCCATTTGCTTTGCGTCCTGCTGTCAATAAGGAACTTGACAGGCTGGAGCAAGAAGGCATTATCAAGCCCGTCAAGTCAGCAGAGTGGGCCTCACCTATTGTGATTGTCAGGAAGCAGAATCGGGACATTCGCATGTGCGCGGACTTCAAGGTCACGATCAACCCGCACATCAACTCCAAGCTTCACCCGATTCCAAATCCGAACGACCTGTTGTCGCAGATAGCTGGAGGATCAGTGTTTACGAAGCTGGATCTTAGCCAAGCTTATGCGCAACTACCGCTGTCGGAACGCAGTCAGAAGTATTGCGTCATCACAACACATCGAGGTCTCTACGCATTCCAGCGCCTTCCGTTTGGCGTGTCCAGTGCCCCAGCAATTTGGCAGAAGACAATGGATGAGATTCTGCACGACATTCCTGGTGTCGTCTGCTTCTATGATGATATTCTCATCACTGGGTGCGATGTCGAAGAGCACGACCGGCGACTCAAGTTGGTGCTAGCGCGGCTAGCAGAGCGTGGTGTGCGTCTTCGCAAGCAGAAGTGTGCTATCCGTGTGGATCGTGTACGCTACTTGGGCTACAGCATCAGCCGGAACGGTCTCGAGCCCAATCAGGACAAGGTCGAGGCTATCCTGAAGGCGTCAGCACCGAAGAATGTTCAAGCGTTGCAGTCATTCCTAGGCTGTGTCAACTTCTACAACCGCTTTCTACCCGACATGTCCAGTGTTCTGAAGCCGCTCAACAACTTGCTCCGCAAAGGTGTTCCGTGGAACTGGACAGATGAGTGTGAGAAGGTGTTCGCTCAGGTAAAGCGTATGCTCACCAGTGCCCCAGTGCTAGCTCATTTTGATGTGAATGAGAAAGTGGTCGTTGAGTGCGATGCTTCGCCTTACGGCATTGGCGCGTGTCTCATGCATGAGTATGCTGATGGCAGCCGTAGGCCTGTATGCTATGTTTCCCGTTCGCTTGCTAAGGCAGAGGCTCACTATTCGCAGATAGAGCGTGAAGCTTTAGCCATTGTGTTTGCAGTTAAGCGTTTACACATTTATTTGTTTGGTCGCTCTTTTGTTCTATGCTCTGATCATAAGCCATTGCTGCACATTTTTGGTGAGAAGTATGGTTTATCTGCCACTGCTGTTTCCCGTTTACAGCGTTGGGCTGTCATTCTTAGCGAGTATGATTATGTGTTTGAGCACATTTCTGGTAGTAGCAATGCTGTCGCAGATTGCTTGTCACGCCTGCCTATGGAGCTGACAGCCGCACAAGAGAGTGCAATTGTCAGTGCTGTCAACGAGCATGCCCATGATCCTACTGAGGATTTGCCAATTGATGCTAGTGATGTTGCAGATGCTAGCAAGCAGGACAGTGAGATTGCTCCAGTTCTGCAGTACCTACAGTTCGGATGGCCAGCTGAGATCAGCGAGGCTACGCGACCATACTACAAGATTCGTCATGAGCTGACCATAGAGTCGGGCTGTGTAGTTCGTGGTGGCCGTACCGTTATCCCAGTAGTGTTTCGCCGTTTGCTGCTAAATGAGATGCATTCTGTCCATATTGGCATTGTCAGAATGAAGGCAGTAGCACGCAGCTTTGTTTGGTGGCCTGGCCTTGATCGCGATATTGAGCTTCTAGTGTCATCATGCAGTCACTGCCAAGCTCTAGCTAAAGCACCTAGCAAGGATGCCAGCCACCCATGGGTGTACCCCACAGAAGCTTTTGAGCGTGTTCATGTGGATTTTGCAGAATTCAACAACCAGCAGTATCTCGTCATCGTGGATGCATACTCTAAGTGGATCGACGCATACAAGCTTGGATCCACTGCCACTACTCAGCAGACGATTGACAGTTTGGTAACATTTATCGCAACGTTTGGTATACCCAAGACCCTCGTGAGTGACAATGGTCCTCAATTTACATCACACCAGTTCCAGCGTTTCTGCCGTGAGAGTGGTATTGTTCACAAGTGTACACCGCCGTACCACCCAGCTAGTAACGGACAAGTCGAACGCATTGTCCAGGAGTTGAAGCGTGCTCTGAAGTCCCGTCCTTCGGATGTGTCTGAGAAGACCCAGATGCACCGTTTCTTGTTTATGTATCGTAACACGCCCCATTCATCAACGAATGTGTCCCCAGCTAGTCTGCTCTTCAGGAAATTACCGAGCACCAAGTTGGCACGCTTAAAGCCCAACTTTGCAGCTGCACAGCGTGAACGTCAAGCACGGCCACAGCCAGGTCAAGGTCGTCATTTCGTGGTGGAGGACACTGTACTTGTATTGAACACTCGCAACGGCAGCGGGCCTAAGTGGCTACCTGGCGTTATTGTACAGAAGCTAGGTCCGGTCTCGTACATTGTTCGCATTGGTCAGCAGGAAAGACATGTCCATGTAGATCATCTCCGTCATCGTTCTACAGCGCCACCTGATGCTGTTCTTCCTCGCAGTGATGTTGACACACCGGTTTTGATTCAACCCGATAGTGCATTGCAGCCGTCAGTACCAGACGCTGCCAACGAGTCCGAACCGTCTGCACTTCCCAGTCCGTCTGCAGACCCTGTTGCACCGCGCCGATCAGCCCGTGCACCGAAGTCACCATCTAGGCTTATTAATGAGATGTGACTGCTTTACTGCTACCTTTACGCTATGGCTGTTATTTGAATATTGATCATAATTATCTCCGCTTTACTATTGCTTCTCTTAAGGGGGAGGATTGTTATGTTTGTATGTGCGCGTAAGCACGCTAGGCTCTGCGCATGTTTGCTTGCACGCTATGCTCTGCGCATGCGCACTCCAGTTCAGACTTCCTGTGTCTGAGTTTGTTCTTCTTTCTATCTTGTTACTTTGCACGTCCATTATTCTCTTTGTAAATAATCCTAATACATTCCACAACTGTGTGTTCTTGTGAGTGGGAATGTAACAGTGACTTTAGCCATGAGGCCACAACAATTGAACGAGGCTACTCCAGGTAACGAAAGAATACGGATAAATAAAACCACGCCCGGGGGAACAGGGATCCAGAGTAGGACTACGGACGGCAGACACAAGCAGGCCAACACTAAACAAATGCCACACGACAGGCGTTACTAACTAATGGCACAACAATGTCTAGTAGTAAACTAAACGGGCAGCTGCTTACCTGAATCGTCTCGCTGGCCGACAGTTTGGACGTCCGAAGGAGACTTGCCGAGACATGGGGATCGCCAAAGAAAGCCGGAGGCAGGTGAAGACAAAAATAAATAGACCGGAAAGGCCGCGGACGACAGGACGATCTCAGGGTCGTGGGAAACGATGCCACTAGCTGGGCGCCAATTGTCGTCGGGGGGTTTTATTCCCTCGCACGATAGCCCTTCCGATTACTCTCTTTTACATCCATCTCACGTGCGCCACACTCAGAGGACAGATTATCATTGTTGTTCCAAGGAGAGTCTCAGGAAGAAGGCACCCAAAAACAATCAGGATGCGCACGATAAGCATGCACGCATGCGCAACCTGCACGTGCCAAAAGGGGCACACACGTGCCAAAAGGGCAGAGACAACACATGTTTAACTGAGATTTTTTATCAAACGAAACCAGAGAATTCAGAGTTCAACTTTAAGTTTCTTACATCTATTGTCAATGTCGTTCTCACCACTGTTGAATAGTGGTGATAACGACGCTAAATTTTATTTTAAATATCCTTCACCAGGTAATGAGCCATGTAACTTGGCAGTGTCATCATGCTGGTATTTCTGTTTTCAACCTGTCAATTTACATGCAGGCGTCAAATGCCTCGACCCTGGTATACCTTTGAAGGGCGTAAGGTCTCTATCATCGGAAGAGATAGTAGTAGGGAAAACCAAATGGTTTCCGTACAACAGTACTATCAAATATCAGTGTACTACTGGATTTTCTTTGAATGGCTCTGGAACTATCCAGTGTAATGGGACTGGTCACTGGTCTGCCCCCGTACCCACGTGCAACAGTAAGTCTTCAACTACATGTACATGTTGAGTGTAGATTTGTGAAAAATGGCGGGATGATTGCTACCACTTGACCTGTCTTTGGACTATGAACTGTCATAGCGTGTGAATAAGGTCCACCCAGGGTTGAAGGGAGCCAACTTGGCGAAATCAGAAGTTTGTCATGCCTGATAATGTTTGGTCGAGACAGACATTGACTTGCTTTCCGAAGGGTCAGTTCCAGTATGTAGTTTTTGTGGTAGTCCCACTGAACTATGGCTGATAGTTGCATGACTCTTGTTGTAATGTATGTTTTGTCTCTGTCATTGATGCGCTTTCAGTAATCTGCTGATACTAGTATGCTAGAAGCATCCTAGACCTACCTGCACTGTGTTCCTGTGGTAGTCATGCATTGTACATCACGGCTGTAGTACTGATGTGCACAGTCATGGTAACAGTGCATTGCGTAATGCTCTTGGCCATATGCTGCTGTTGAGCTGGTTTCACAGATGAAGAATCTGAGAGACACAATGGCTAGTTGTCTATTCTTTCCGTGTGCTTAGTCTGGCTTCTTGCATGCCTATGTAACTCGTATACTCTCAGCACTCAAAGCACAATCATACTTGTTGTTACGTAAGTAGTTATCATTCGTTCATTGTCTCACAAGGAGAAGAAGAAGACCAGGCAGTGCGAGTATGCGCACTGCTATCCATGCATTCCTACGGTGTACTATTTATGTGTATACAAATTACGTGTCATAAAGTAGCCATGCTACACTATCCTCCTCCTACCAAAAATTCACGCCCTCGTGAATAGAGAAAAAAAACAGAAACATAAAAAATAAAAACTCAGGACATAGCAAAATTAGTAAACCGAGCAGGCAGTCCAGGATTGCGAGCGAGATGGGCTCTGACGACAGCGGACAACAAGTAGTGTCATGGTCGAGGGCTTGCAGAGTAAGCACCGTGAGGCATCAGACGCGAACCGAATGTTCCTTCTGATCCAACTGCATTAGCCGAGAACAAACGCATGGTACGACTAGTGCCAGAAACCTTCGGGAGGGCGAACAAATTTTCCACTCACCGCATTGTACCTGGGCAAACTGACCACTGAGAGGTCGACATTCACAGCTTTGGCAGCAGCCAACTCAAATGCGGAGAGACCAGCAAGTACAGAAGTGGCGACATCCACAGACGCAGTTGTGGCAGAGGAACTAGCTTGCTCTGGCTGATTTGCGGGAGTCTCGAGATGGGAGGGTTGCACCTCCGGCAACAAGGAACGCGACAGACCATCTGCATTCAAGTACTGCCGACCCGGTCGGTGAACAGTAGTGAAGGTGTACTCAGCGAGTTGCTCCACCCATCGAGCTTTTCGACCGCGTGGTTCCTTCACGGACATCAGTGCGGTGAGGGCAGTGTTATCTGTGCGGCAGCGGGCAATAAAATTCCGACCAAGCAAATAGTGCCGGAACTGATTCGCGAAATGGACAAGGGCAAGCGTTTCCCGGTCTGAGGCATCATAATTCCTCTCTGCCTTCGTCAAGACCCGGCTGCCGAACGCAATGGGGCGTTCCTCGCCATCTTGCATTTGGCTGAGGACAGCTCCAATGGCCACCTTGCTTGCGTCAGTGTCCAAAATAAAGCCACCAGACGAAACAGAAAAGTCGGGATACGCCAACACGGGGGCTGTGGTCAGTGACCGCTTCATAGACGTCAACGCCGCATCACAACTCTTAGTCCATGTAAAGCTGGCACCCTTGCCTGCTAATACATTCAGTGGAGCGGAGCGCTGAGCAAAACCACGGATGAAGCGGCGGTAAAACCCGGCGTACTCCAGAAACACCTGTACACCTCGTACAGACTGGGGTACGCCCCACTTCACAATAGCCTCAACCCTGGTGGGATCCGGAGCCAAACCTTCAGCCGAAACTTCATGGCCAAGGAAGAGCACCTTCCGTTGGAAAAAAGAACATTTTTCCAAGTGTACCTTTAGTCCAGCAGCACGGACCCGGCCAAATACAGACTGCAGGATCTGGAGCTGTCCCATGAAGGTAGAGCTGGCATTCAATACACTGTTGAAAAACACTTGACAGATTGGTTGGTTAGGCACACTACATAAACCATGAAGCACCGCTTCCATTACACGGTGGAACGTCGCTGGACCATTTCTACAGCCAGACATAACCAAGAAATCACACAAACCCAACGGTGTCGTAACGGCAGTCTTTGCCGTATCGTCCTCGTGCTTAGGAACCTGCCAATATCCTGACGCTAAATCCAGGCAAGTGAACCATGAACAGCCAGAGAGTGAGTCCAATATGGCGTCAACACGTGGGATAGGATACGCATCTGGCTCCGCAATGCTGTTCAACTTGCGGTAGTCGATACATAACCGGAGAGATCCGTCCTTCATGGGAACGAGAACTATGGGCGACGCCCAGGGTCTAATGGACTTGGTGAGTATACCACGGGACAACAGACCATCCAGCAAAGCTTGCAAAGCGCGCGTAGGCTGCTTAACTGGCTGTATATCACCAGTACTACTACTATGTGGCAAAACATCACAAGGACCAAAATCACCCTCCCGCAAGAGAAACAAGTCATGATTCTCACGGAGAAGCTCTGTAAGTCTGTTCTTTTCAGGTACTGCCAGATGATTCCGAGACTCAACATACGTACGGATTATCTCGGCACGTTCAGGGGATAGCACAAACGGTTGCATATCCGCAACAGACGAATCAGCAGGATCATCATCCTCTCCAATCAAGTTATCGGGTACAGGAGATAATTCTGCAATATCAACATCTGTAGCAATTTGTACTGGGTAGTCAGAGTGATTCTCCAACACAACTACCGCACCGGACCTGCCAGGTCCAACCGTAACCACACTGGGGGTCACAGACACATCTGGAAACTTTAACAAGAATGAGTCCAGTGGAACAGCAACACAATCCACAGTGACAGATGCCTCTTGCACCGACTTGCACGGGACCAGCACGACATGGCCGGCAGGCAGAGTTAATTTACTACAAACAGTGACACGGGAATAGTACGTGCCCGGGTCTTCCTCAGAATTACTATCATTACTCCAAGAGTCAGATAGCGGGTCAGCGTCCGCCGCAACAACCGGACTTGGCTCTGATGGACAAACACTAGTAGCTTTCACGCCTAGCAGGACTGACAGATCATTAAAAGTTAGTGTGCCTTGAGCAATGTTCAATACTGCTCCATGGTCAAACAAGAAATCAGATCCCAATATCATATCATGGCGGATATCAGGAGACACTACAAATGTATGCAAGAATGAACACTCTCCAATGCAGCATACAATATCCACAGCACCCAGAACCTGGAGTCCCTCACCATTAGCCGCACACAAACGGGGAGCAGCTTGCAAGGGCACATCACCATACGTGGACAAAAATGTTTGCTCATGCAACATAGAAACACAGGAACCAGAGTCAATTAACGCCGTTACACACTTGCCTTGAACATGGAGATCTAGCGTAGGGACTGACGATACAGCCTCGATACGTACTGCATCTGATGGCTCCTCGTGAACGACTGGGAGTTGTCCCACACCACCAGTCGTACTCAGTTTCCCGAGCGCCAAGGGTTGTGTGGGCAATCTAGAGCAAAATGGCCAGGTTGTCCACAACCACAACAAATCGGTGGTTCCACCTGACCTCCACGACCATACGAATGTCCACGACCACTGCTACTACTATGAGGCTGATCAAATTCGAAACTTGCTCCTACAGGAACCTGTGTGCGTGGAGCAACAATTTCCAAACAGCTGAGTCTCTTTTCGAGGTCGGTCAACCTGCGATCAAGTTTCTCGAGCGCCTGAGCTAGCTGATCACGCACTCCGGTGTCATTAGACTGGTGCAACTCTGATGCACTGGCATGTTCGTCAGACGGTATCTTGAACGGACGAGGTCGAGGGGACCTGGTCTTCTTTCTGCCTTTGGACTTGCCCATCTCGATATCTCACTAGCAATGGCCCAAGCTACAAACATTTGTAGTTCAAAAAAACTTTTGAAAAATGTTACAAAAAAAATTGACCTACACAAAACTGTGTAGTTACGTCAAACGGACGTACACGTGCACAGGACATGACGTCAACAGTGTACTTGCTAAGTATGCACGCACACTCACGTGCGCAAAATATTTTTGTGAAAATGTAGCCCTTTCTACACCAAACAAAACTGTTACTCATGCACAGCGAACGATCAGTCCAGGAGTAAAGAATGGAAAACGAGACGAAGGCTAGAATGATCAATACTAGTAAATTAGAACTTAGTCTGTGGGCTGGTTTCCCGAGTAGCTGGAACTGGTCTCAGACTCTCTGGAACTTGTCGACTCTGCAACTTGTCTCTCCTGCGGAGGCGTCTTCCCAGCCGTGGACAAAACCGACGACTATTTTTCCGCTGCCACCATTGTAACTCGTATACTCTCAGCACTCAAAGCACAATCATACTTGTTGTTACGTAAGTAGTTATCATTCGTTCATTGTCTCACAAGGAGAAGAAGAAGACCAGGCAGTGCGAGTATGCGCACTGCTATCCATGCATTCCTACGGTGTACTATTTATGTGTATACAAATTACGTGTCATAAAGTAGCCATGCTACACCTACATTGGCGCAGTGAACAGGCACGGATTTGTCGCCATGTCCGCTCCCAAAGGCAGAGCGCCGAAGGAATTTGTACCTGACTTTTCCAGCAACATCGGAGCCGATTTCGAATTGTGGCTCGAGGACGTTGATGATTATCTGAAAATTTGTGGAGTTACGACGGCAGCTGATAAGAAGAGGCTGTTTCTGAACCTTGCAGGCCTCGCTGTCAGGCGTATTGTTAAAGGAATCGTAGTTCCTACTCCACCAGCTCAGGCCGATGGCAGTGCCGGATGTGAGTACAAAGCTCTGACGGATGCTGTGATTGCTCATTTTCGTCCTGCCACAAACACAACGTCGGAGCGCCACCGGTTCCGTCAGCTTCGCCAGAATGAGGGTGAGTCTGTCACATCGTTTGTGGGACGCCTGCGCGAAGCAGCTGATCGCTGTGAATTTGCGTCTACTGCCGTGGACACCATTGATCAGGGACAAATCCGTGACCAGTTGATCGAGGGCCTGCGATCCCAGGAGCTACGTAAAGAACTTCTCAAAGAGTCAAAGTTGACACTAGCCAATGCTGTGAGCAAAGCTGTGGCACTCGAGTCCTCTATCACGGACAGCAAGCTTTATGGTGACGCTGCAGCTACTCCATTGTCGAATTCATTCTCTCACATTCACCGTGTTTCACACTCCCAGCCTGCCTCTGCGCACAAGAAGTTTGGGAAGTGCAAGTACTGTGGCCGCTCGCATCCAAGAGGCAAGCAGCATTGCCCTGCAGCGGATGCTACTTGTGGCAACTGCTCGAAAGTCGGCCACTTTACAACAGTATGCCTGTCGCGCAAGTCTGATAATGCGCGCATGACATCCGAACAGGTGGAGGAGGATGACGCCAACTATTTCTGTGATTACGCATTCTCAGTGGATACTTCTCAGCACCAGCAATTGTTTCGTAAGACGCTGATCGTCAACGGCCGTCCCTGTGAAGGACTACTGGATACCGGTGCTACCCGATCAGTGCTAACCGATGATGTTGTCCAGCCAACGCGAAAGAGTGATCGAATCTTGAAAGCGTACAATGGCGGCGTCATCTCGACACTCGGTATGGCTGATGTGACGGTCTCTGTTGGATCACGCAGCATCGTATGTAGTTGTTTTGTTGTCCCAGTCGCGTCTGGCCGCCAAATCCTGTATGGCCAGGACGTCATCTCCGAACTGGAGTTGCTGACCTCTGCTGAAGTCAATGTGGTGAACGTGACGCCCATCTCTATCACAGTGGACCCTGACACCACTCCAACAGCACTCCCACCCCGTCGGCACGCTTTCAGCATCCGGGATGAAATTGCCAAGGAGTTGGATCGTCTGGTGAAGCATGACATAATCGAGCCAGTGCGAGAAGCTACTCCGTGGGTCTCACCGTTGGTGCCGGTCAGGAAATCAAGCGGTGCTTTGCGTCTCTGCGTGGACTACCGCGTCCTAAACAAGAGCGTAGTCCGGGAGCGTCACCTACTTCCCACCGTTGACGAAATCAATGCGCAGCTGGACGGTGCAACAGTGTTCTCCGTTCTGGATGCTGAATCTGGCTTTCACCAGCTCCCTTTGGCCGCTGAATCTCGTCCGTTCACCACTTTCGCCACTCACAAGGGCCTCTTTAAATTCAAGAGACTCCCGTTTGGCATTGCTTGCGCACCGGAGATATTTCAACGTGTGGTGTCTGACATCCTTGCCGGCCTACCGGGAGTCGTTGTCTATATTGATGACATTCTCATCTATGCCCGCAACCGACAGGAACACGACGAGCGCATGGCTGCCGTACTCCGTCGTTTGAGCGAAGCCAACCTGCGCTTAAACTGGGAGAAGTGTCGCGTACGCCAGTCAGAAATCAAGTACTTGGGACACTGGCTGAGCAAGGATGGTGTGCGTCCTGACGGTGACAAGCTGCTGGCAATCCAACAGTTGCAGCTGCCGCAGACGTTGACAGATGTACGTCGTTTCCTTGGTATGGTGACGTACCTTGGTAAATTCATACCGCAGCTCTCACAGACAACTGAGCCGCTGAGGAAACTGGCTCAGCGACAACCATTCGTCGTTGATGATGAGCTGACGGCCGCGTTCACCGATGCAAAGACAGCCGTGGCCTCGTCGCTAGAGTGCTTAGCGTACTTTAAGCCATCCTTGGACGTCCCAACCAAGGTAACATGTGACGCATCTCCACTTGGTCTGGGTGCTATTCTGTGGCAGCAAGACAAGAGTGGCACTTGGTTACCTGTCACCTGCGCCAGCCGTTCATTGTCCGATGTTGAATCTCGTTATTCCCAGTTGGAGCGCGAGATGCTTGGTATCGTATACTCTCTGACTCGATTCCGACAGTACGTCCTGGGGAGATCTGTTCAAGTTGTGACCGACCACAAGCCCCTGATCTCAATCGTCCAGAAGCCGTTTGACGAAGTACCACCACGGCTGCAGCGCTGGATGGTCGCTCTCATGCCATACCAGTACACCTTGTCACATGCACCTGGGAAGCAGATGGTGTGTGAAGACACATTGTCAAGAGCGCCTGTCCAAGACTCAACTGCCTCACCAGAAGAAGCCCGCTCTATGGCTGAGTTCATTGGCCTGGTCTTGGAAGAGTGCCCAGTCAATATCGACGATATCGCCAAGGCGACTAGTGATGACCCACTGTTGCGCAGCATACAGCAGCGCGTCTTGATGCAATCATGGTCCCAAGTCACACCCGCTGAAGAGCCATACTACCTTATCCGAGATCAGCTGACGACCATTGACGGCATCCTGCTATTCGGTAACCGCTGTGTAATACCAGAAGCTCTCCGACATGCCGTACTGCAGTTGGCCCATGAAGGTCATCCAGGTCGGGACATATTCAAGGATGCTTTGCGACGACGAGTATGGTGGACCGGCATGTCTAAAGATGCCGACAAGTTCGCCGAGCAGTGTTCAGAGTGTTGGCGCCGTCATACAAACCCCGCACAAGAGCTGCTGCCATCAGAAATTGAAGGAGTGTGGCAGAAACTGGCGGTTGATCTGGTGTGTATCGAGGGTCAACAAGTATTATCCATCGTCGACTACGGTTCACGCTATCCGGAGCTACTTCCCTTGTCAGCTACCACAACCGCAGCTGTCATTGACCGGCTGATGGAAGTGTTCGCGAGGTTCGGCCTGCCTAGCGTGTTGGTGTCCGACAATGGCCCTCAGTTTGCCTCAGCCGAAATGGCCCAGTTCCTGCAGCGGTTGGGTATCCAGCACAATCGATCAAGCCCACGCTACCCCAGATCTAATGGCATGGTGGAACGTCTTCATCGAGTCGTCAAAGAGAGAATTCAATCTCTACGACCGTCCCTGTCTTTGCAACGCCGTTTGCAACAAGTTCTCTTTGATATTCGCAACTCAGTGCACCGAATGCTGGGCATGTCACCCAATGAGGCTTTCTTCGGTCGCATGGTTCGCACCCGTCTACCTCACCATTCTACCCCACGCATTGTGAATGCTTCTCATCAGATTCGCGCCAAAGCTGACATGGCAGTCTCGCATGATAGTCGCCGCGGTGTCCGCCAGTTGCCTATGCTGCGTCCCGGCACAATGGTAGTCTTGCAGGATGGCTATTCCGACCCAACTACCCCTTGGCGTGTTGTGGAGCAATATGGCAGACAAGTCGGCGTCACTGATGGCAGGCGGATACTGCTCCGAAATCGGCAGCATGTGCGAGAACATGCTTCACCTGCGTCATCAACTGCCACCTCTTCTCGGTCTTTGGATCTCCAGCCAGTTCCGACGCCAGATCCCCAGCCAGCTACAGAGTCAGAAGTGAAATCCTCGGCACCTAATGCAGATGTGCCGCCTGCTACGCCTACTGCTCCGTGTGAAGCAGGAGTGGAATCTGAGATCAAAGAGGCCGATGCTCAGATTCATCCCGAGTCCAGTGACCAATCACGTCGTCAATCACGCCTACCACGGCCCGATGCCCAGTCTGGCTCGCTCTATCGCGAGGGCTATGTAACTCGCGCTGGCCGCACTGTCAAGCTCACTGAGAAAGCTGCTGGTGCATTGATGTAATATCTCCATTTTGACTGACCATGTTGCATAACTATGCCAATTTGCGATTTAGTTGCTGGTTTGGTTTGTTCTGTTTGTATCGTGGTACAGGTTTGATGTATCTTCAGTGAGTTGACCCGTCAGTGTCAGGGTGTATCAAATTTGTTGCTTTGAATTGATTCTTTGCTTGCTTCCTCTGCAATTTTATTGTTCTTTTCTTGTCTGCAATTTTCTCCTTTTTTTTTCTTTTTTCTTTTTCCTTTTTTTTCTCTCCTTTTTTTTCTCAAACAGGTTTGCATTTGCAGACAATTTTTTTTCTTAGGGAAGGGGGGTAATGTGGTAGTCATGCATTGTACATCACGGCTGTAGTACTGATGTGCACAGTCATGGTAACAGTGCATTGCGTAATGCTCTTGGCCATATGCTGCTGTTGAGCTGGTTTCACAGATGAAGAATCTGAGAGACACAATGGCTAGTTGTCTATTCTTTCCGTGTGCTTAGTCTGGCTTCTTGCATGCCTACATTCCTTCTGTACGCATTCACCACATACTTGGCATGCCCTATCCCTAGCGCTGGGTAGTACCATGCAGTCTACCAGCGACGTAGGTCGCACGTGATACTTGTGTCGTCTCGGAAGGTTGAGAACGAACTGCCTCTTCTATCCTCGCCACGCCACACCTCAAAACGAACTAGTCAGTGGTTTTTCTCTAGAGCTAGAGAGAGAGCTTTTCATAGTTTACTTCAAGCGGCGACGGAAGAACTCATAATGGAGAACTAACACTGACAACGAATGACTGACGACTGTCAACAAACGTCTGACTCTGACAACGAATGACTGACAACTGACGACGAACGTCGGACAACTGACGACGACATGGCAAAAGGAAAACATGATATCAGAAATTGGTGCCCTCGTCAGCACAAAAGGTGGTGTACTCAGCACAAAAAGGTGCGCGTGTCAACAACAAAGCAGCGCAGCAGCATGTACGGGTCAGCAGCACAGACACAAATACAGCAGCAGCTACGACGAAGAGACAACACGTGCAGCCACATGTACACACAAAGACACAAATACAGCAGCAGCTACGACGAAGAGATAACACGTGCAGGCGCAGGTACAACACTATCCCCTACCAAAAAAAGACATCCACTCCTGTGGATGGAAGCAAAAGTGAAGTGTATAAAAAACGGAAGAAGACAGACCGGAGAAGAAGACAGAAAGACAGGGGAAATGAAATATGAAGCAACATAAACAGGCGACAATAAAACACAAAAGAGGTGGGCCACAACTGTTGAATGCATGACGAGTAGGCCAGGAGGGTTAACACCAGTCGGGAGCCCCGCAAAACTGTGCACCAATCAACGGAACCTGCAAGCAACAGATTTTGCAAAGGACCCCGGCTGGCGAGCTGTTCGACCTGTGTTTGTCCCTTTGGATCTTTTATTCTTAGAACAGCACCAACCTAGTACGCCACCCATCCACCAGTCATGACAAAACAAAAGTACAAATGCATGAGAAAACAGGTTATGCCGACGGACCCAGCGACGCTTCCAGGAGCGGCGAGACCGACAGCACGCACCGACCGAGAAGAAGACTGGGGCAGCAGGACGCACACTGGCCGGCTGTCCGAAAACCGATGGCGCTACAGAAACTCCGAGAATCACAGGACACACACAGAAAGGGAGAAGGACTGACGCAAACATCTCAGCCATCACCAAAAATCAGAAAAGCACACGAAGGAGGGGAAGAACAGCCAGGAAGAACACGTCGATTGAAACAGGAGCAATTAATCAGTGAGGACACCATTGAGGACACACAAACAAATCGGTTACCAATACGCAAAAGATAATGAAGAAAAACCACAGGGCGCTACCCTGAATAACCACAGGTCTCTAACCTGAAAAAACCCACAGGGATTGAACCTGAAAAAACCACAGGGATTGAACCTGAAAAAACCACAGGGATTGAACCTGAATAACACGGAACTTATAGTACATCCGCTCACAAAACCGAAAAACCGAAGAAAAAAAAACTGTCCGGCACCGACTGGGACGCACAAGGGCCAGCCAGCAACACACGGAAACCATAACACCCGCAAGGCAAACCGATACAAAAAAAGCGCAGGATCCCTGCAGACCACCAAGCAGACCGTGGCTCACCATGATCAGACGCCCACCCAGAGGAACTAGAGAAACCCACATGCCAAAACACAATTATTACAAAACCATCATAGGCATACGCTCACAAACAAAATTCAACCTGGATCAAGAACGAGAATCCTACATGAAGTTCACACCTCCCACCAAACCGGAAGCCAACAGCTTTCCTACTTTGTTGACAGTGCATGACCGAGCCTGACAACGCTCTACACCATGTACACAGAACATGGAGAAACTAATGTCATGGCCGCGCTTCGGCGGGTTTGTGACTTGGCTTAGATCAGTCTAGTGGCTACCCAGGTAGACGACCAATATAGTCGCCATCCAAGTTGCTAGCTCACATAGAACGACAGGTTTCTAATTCCACTTGAACAGTGTTTATTTGAACCATTGCAGTACTAGATCGAAAGATCAAGTGTATAGTCAAAAGACCAAAGCAGGAGAGAGTCGGAGTGACTCTCTCAGAATCGAGAGGAGTAGTGAGCTCCCCGAGAATCGAGGATGAATGTTTGCAAAACAGCTCCTTATATATGCTACATTATGTGATCAAAAGTATACAGTGGCAAGAATGCGTAAGGATTGTTTCTATATTACAAACAGTGGTGCAATATGTGCAATCAGCCAAACTAGAATATAGTACAAAGAATGATCAATCAATACGGGGAGCTCGCTCACCCACATTACATGAAAGGACTCCGAGGCTCTTCGTGCGACGGGGCCTGGAGTATGCTGCCGGAAGTTGCTGCAGCTAGAGCACGCCACCTCCGTACGCTGCCTTGGTCGTTGGTCACCCTTCATCTCCTGCCCGTAGGCTCTTCCCTCTCATTACCCCGTAGGGTGCTTCACGGTCAAGCCGTGACCTCTCCCAAAAAAGGGATAATGGAGTCCGCAGTGCGCGAAGCACTTGCAGGACCCTTTACGTCGTACGACGCGAGAAGAGGGGCCTTGCTTGCTCGACTAACAAAGGTATCAGCTCCCTTGCAGGACTAAGCAGGGTCCCCTCAAGCTCAACAGTGTAGTGAGTACAATGCTGACGACTTGTACTGAAGGTGTAGCCGCCGTACGACAACACTTGTGACTCGAGGCCACGAGTTGTAAGCCATGATTGCTCAACTAACGAAAGTGCCAAATCCTTCGTAGGACTAATCATGGTTCTTACAGAACTCTAGAATATTTCGGAGCCCAGCTTTTGGCTGCTGAATCTCATTGCGTGGTCGCTTTCACGACGAGTCGAGTCCGGGTCATGACAATTCCCCGGCCTCTCAAGAATCACGTCCCCGTGATGTTACCCAACTTGGAAGTCGGCGAGTCGTGACGGTAACCGCCTAGCTCTCGTTGGCCAAGCCAACTGGTTCTGCACCGTAACAGGTACGGCATAGAGTACGAAATGTGGCTCCACAGGCGGGACATTTCCATCAAAAAAAATTCCAACTTCAAAATGAAACTGGTACTGCTCCACCATCGTAGAGATGAGCCTGGTGCTGCTGAACAACACGCAGCTTGTCATGTACAACTAAATGCACATTGCAAATCTTCACGCAAAGCGTATACGTATGACAGTTCGCCATTTCGTGTCATCTCAGATGAATGTAGACCATAGGCCATAACGTGTGGTCGACACACCCTTCTACCACGTAGGTATCCGGTTCAGTACAAAACATAGATTTGGTGGTATCCAACGAATCGGTTCCACCCACACTCCACCCATTACAAAAGACCTTGGCGACCTCGCCAAGACTTCCACGGTAGGTTCATTGCTGCCAGCAAGGACAGACACAATGGCATACGCCTAGTAGCCTGTGCAACAGGACCACGATCACGTGTCTCAATGGTGTGGTGTAGCACCGAAGTGCGACCAAGCTCAGATGGGTTCAAAGCGAACGCATCTCGATACCGAAGTACTAAGGCTTGCAAGCAGTGGATCTCCTCGCAGGAGATACCAGATTGTCCATCTCTTCCTCCACCCGCCGCCGTGGGCTGGATTGAGTCCGGCTCATCCCTACCACCAACAGTGGGCAACTTGACTGAGGCCAGCTCGTCACTACCACCAACAGTGGGCACTTGGACTGAGACCAGCTCATCCCTACCACCAACAGTGGGCACTTGGACTGAGACCAGCTCATCCCTACCACCAACAGTGGGCACTTGGACTGAGACCAGCTCATCCCTACCACTAACAGTGGGCACTTGGACTGAGACCAGCTCATCCCTACCACCAACAGTGGGCAACTTGACTGAGACCAGCTCGTCACTACCACAGCCGGGAGTTAGAGCGGGACAATCTGCGCCAATGCGCAACTGCTTCCAGACCCCGAGGGAGTCCTCTGTCTCAGCTAATTGAGCTGATTCCTCTCTCTGGCCATCGGCCATAGTGTCTTCGGGTCATGATACTCATGACTTCAGATATTGGTTCCAACCGACCAATCTGCATTGCCCTCTCTAGAGCCACTGCCTCGTCAGAGTAATTTAACACCCGTACGGGAACACCATCCACCGTAGGGCTCACTAGCGCATGCGCCATCATGACATCATTCATTCCTTGAAAACACCCATCAGGTATCGTCAAGGCACAGGTCGGCAACCCTTCCGACGTGTCTAGCACGGCGTTAACCGTCACCTCCGAAAATGGGGGTATCACTTCACGTCTCCGCAAGCGAAGAACGTGCTCTCGTTTGCCATCACCATCATGGCTTGGCGGAACGACGTCAGCTTTAGAAGCCTTAAAAATGCAATGCTCCATCACCCGAAGTGATCTCGCAAGGAATTGGGACAGCACATCGCGTCCAATGTCAGAACCAGTAACCAACATCATACTCAGTACGTGACGAAACACCACAGGGTGCGGACGTCGACAGATCCGACACCAAACAGGCATCGCCCAACACAGAAGTGCTGGTTTCAGGTGGGCATCAGCTCACTAGTGATTTCCATCACACTCCAATCAAAACATTTGAGATCCGCATCAACGAACTCAAATCAGCAGTTGTTCAAGCTCTCTGCAGAACTTGTTGCTGTATCATCGTTTCAGCCAGCATCTCAACTGGTGCGTCCAGTTTCGAAATCTGGCTTCGTGACTCCGTCACACGACAAGGACATAGTCCTCTTGACTGTTTTTGAACCGTCAAAGTTCAAAAGAACAGCAACACTCCTCAACTGCAGCTGAGGGCAACGTAGAAGCTAAGCTTCATGCAGTCATCGATCCTGCCACTGCAAGACGACTCTAAAAGTCTAAAAGCATTTCGCTTCTCGAGCAGTTTCTGTGCAAGCGCTGACAAAACAGTAGAGACTGCACGTCCTAGCAAGAACCTCTGTGGGTTCGAAAAATGCGCCGTCTACACCGCAAATCGAGTGCAGCTGACACATATCTCAGACCAACAAGTGGTGCAGGAGTCGAAACTCTCGTCGGCGGCATGACCGACTTTCGCCAGGTCTTCCGGAACAAGTTGGCACGCCAACTGGTAAGTGGTAGCAACAGCTACAAAACAGAACGAGTTCACGTTCCATGTGCACGCACTCAGACAGAGTCACAGTGTTCAACTGAACGGACCAAGGCCAGAACAGAACAAAACAGTTCGCTTCCGACTCCACTTGAGAACTGCATGCAGCCTCGTGAAATCGACATCAAATTCACACCTCTGCGCGCTCGAGTAAACAAGAGCTCAGAGTTCAGCATGGACCAGTGCACACCGAGTTACGACTACTCTGCCGGAGCAACAGCAAGACGCAGCTTGGAAATCCTGGTCACAGCACCAAATGTCATGGCCGCGCTTCGGCGGGTTTGTGACTTGGCTTAGATCAGTCTAGTGGCTACCCAGGTAGACGACCAATATAGTCGCCATCCAAGTTGCTAGCTCACATAGAACGACAGGTTTCTAATTCCACTTGAACAGTGTTTATTTGAACCATTGCAGTACTAGATCGAAAGATCAAGTGTATAGTCAAAAGACCAAAGCAGGAGAGAGTCGGAGTGACTCTCTCAGAATCGAGAGGAGTAGTGAGCTCCCCGAGAATCGAGGATGAATGTTTGCAAAACAGCTCCTTATATATGCTACATTATGTGATCAAAAGTATACAGTGGCAAGAATGCGTAAGGATTGTTTCTATATTACAAACAGTGGTGCAATATGTGCAATCAGCCAAACTAGAATATAGTACAAAGAATGATCAATCAATACGGGGAGCTCGCTCACCCACATTACATGAAAGGACTCCGAGGCTCTTCGTGCGACGGGGCCTGGAGTATGCTGCCGGAAGTTGCTGCAGCTAGAGCACGCCGCCTCCGTACGCTGCCTTGGTCGTTGGTCACCCTTCATCTCCTGCCCGTAGGCTCTTCCCTCTCATTACCCCGTAGGGTGCTTCACGGTCAAGCCGTGACCTCTCCCAAAAAAGGGATAATGGAGTCCGCAGTGCGCGAAGCACTTGCAGGACCCTTTACGTCGTACGACGCGAGAAGAGGGGCCTTGCTTGCTCGACTAACAAAGGTATCAGCTCCCTTGCAGGACTAAGCAGGGTCCCCTCAAGCTCAACAGTGTAGTGAGTACAATGCTGACGACTTGTACTGAAGGTGTAGCCGCCGTACGACAACACTTGTGACTCGAGGCCACGAGTTGTAAGCCATGATTGCTCAACTAACGAAAGTGCCAAATCCTTCGTGACTAATCATGGTTCTTACAGAACTCTAGAATATTTCGGAGCCCAGCTTTTGGCTGCTGAATCTCATTGCGTGGTCGCTTTCACGACGAGTCGAGTCCGGGTCATGACACTACTACTAAAACGGTAAAAACACGAAACAAAACAATATGGATCGACTACATACGAGGCAGCACCTCGAGAACGTTCAGGTGGACATCTAAACAAATCACGCGACACAGTCACACTATCGGAGCAGTCCGACGGCAACTCCGTGGCAAGCACAAGTGCACAACACAAGACGAGATCAAAGCTACCCATGCTGAATGCACGACGAACATGCAAACACAAGTTCCAGATTCGAACGAGTAGCGCACGCACAGAAGTTTGAAATTTTCATACACAACAGTACAGTACAGGGTAGTCAGAGCGACACAACTAACACAACGGGGCGAACTTACTTCCAACGAGCAGCAAGACTACACTACGAGTACACACTCGAACACAAGAGAACAAGGTTCCACGGAATTCCTGCAGGGACCCGAGTCACCCGACGTAAAACAATTATTTGAAAATTCGAAATCGAATACAAGGTACGGCAACATTGCAACACATTACGCAGAGCAGACAATTACAAAGGCATGCTCACCTGAGTAGGAGCTCCGAGGATCTAGGAAAGGGTTGAACAGACGCAGCAAAGCGGAGCCATGGCGAGAACGCGAAGAGGAAAACGAAAAACACCGGCCGGGGAGCGACGAGCTTCAGGGTCGTGGGTTCGATTAGTTGGGCGCCAAATGTCGTCTCGGAAGGTTGAGAACGAACTGCCTCTTCTATCCTCGCCACGCCACACCTCAAAACGAACTAGTCAGTGGTTTTTCTCTAGAGCTAGAGAGAGAGCTTTTCATAGTTTACTTCAAGCGGCGACGGAAGAACTCATAATGGAGAACTAACACTGACAACGAATGACTGACGACTGTCAACAAACGTCTGACTCTGACAACGAATGACTGACAACTGACGACGAACGTCGGACAACTGACGACGACATGGCAAAAGGAAAACATGATATCAGAAATTGGTGCCCTCGTCAGCACAAAAGGTGGTGTACTCAGCACAAAAAGGTGCGCGTGTCAACAACAAAGCAGCGCAGCAGCATGTACGGGTCAGCAGCACAGACACAAATACAGCAGCAGCTACGACGAAGAGACAACACGTGCAGCCACATGTACACACAAAGACACAAATACAGCAGCAGCTACGACGAAGAGATAACACGTGCAGGCGCAGGTACAACACTTGTTGTAGTGATTGTACATATTGACGGATCCTGGCGCAAGGTCGAGGAGATCAAGAGAGAGAGCCCGAGAATGGCGGCCAGATCCTGAGTGTCCTAATTTATTATCCCGAACCGTTTTCCTTGTGTTTATTCTTATTGCATGTATTGATTAATCCCATTGCTGGATTGAACCGTGTTGGCTGGTGTGAACTGAGTGACGAGTTGACTGAAACATTGGCGCAGTGAACAGGATTCTTTTCTTAGTAAGTCACTCGTTGAAGTTTGTAGTTTCCACCACGCACGTGGGGAATGGCAGAAAAAGTAAAAGTCGGCGTCCGCCTTGACCTGGACCACGAGCTGGGAAACGATCATTTCCTTACTTGGCGTAGTCAGTTGGAGATTGGCTTTGCACTCCACGAAGTGAAGGATCAGGCGAAGCAGTATTTGGCAGCAGCTGCCAATTTAGGCGAGTCAGCAAGTCACTACTTATGGCAGAGCTACCCGACAGTGCCAACTACTGCAACTAATCCCTACAACGATCTTATCAAATTGTTCCAAGAATATTTCGGCTCGAAACAGAGCGCAGCGTCCCGTTTGGCGGAATTGTTTGCAGTCGAGCAACGTCCTGGGGAGACTGTACAGGCCTTTCGGCTGCGGGTGCAAAAAGACATGAGGGTTTGCAACCTGACCAGCACTCGTACTGCCGAGGAACTACTGGGAGTTGTGGGAGTCCACCTGTTTGCACGGGGGCTCAGCTCTGCCAGTGCCCGAAAGAGTGTCTTGGAGCACGATGCGCAGGACTTGAGCTCCGCCGCAGCCAAGGCGCAGGCAGTGGTATTAGCTGAAGAGGGTGCCAAAGAAGCACCTGTGCCAGAGGTCAGCTATGCAGCTACGCGTCAACCTGGACATGCACCATTGCCAGCATCAGGCGGTGGGTATTGTGGAGAGACGCACGCTCCCGGCAAGCCGAACTGCCCAGCAGCGCGTATGTTCTGTGCCCAGTGTGGGCGTAAGGGACATTTTGCATCGGTGTGCCGTGCCGGATCTGGTCGAGTGGACCGCAGTGCCCAGACCCAGTCGCAGAGCACGTCATCCAGGCAACACAACCGATCAGCACCAGCCGTTTCGTCACTCCGAACGGGTGCAGCATCACCAGCCGTACAGTCCGCCCAGCCACCAGAGGCCTATGAAACATTCGGGGTACAGGCAGGGAAGACCGGTTTCACTCTACCTCTGAGGCAGGTAACCTTGGACTGCCGACACACCTTGTCGCTAAGAGTGGACTCTGCCAGCATGGTTTCCATCATCCCTAAGTCATTACTCCCATCGGGGTACGTCCTGTTACCGCCGCCATGCCCACTCCAGCCAGTGGGGACGCAACGCATAACAGCTGTGGGCGTGTTTGAGGGTAACCTGAGCTATCAGGGCCGCGAAACGACGGAGACTATCTTTGTAGTCGATGACGCACAATGCACTGTGCCAGCATTACTGGGAGAGCAGGCCTCCATCCGTTTAGGTCTTCTGGCATTGCCGATTTCAGCAGTTGAAATCCCAGCCTGTGCCGAGGGCCTAGCGTCACTCCCTGCTATGCGCGGCCCGATTACAATCGCTCTCGATCCGGATCACCCTCCGTCACAACAGTCATCTCGACGGGTAGCACCGGCACTGCTCACCTCGCTACGCCAACAACTAGATGCATGGCTAGAACAAGGAGTGGTCGAGATGGTGGAGGAAGTAACGGCTCAGGACTTTGTTTCGCCACTGGTAGCCACACCGAAACCCGACAAAACCATGCGCTGGTGCGTAGATTTACGACAAGTCAACGCAGCGGTAAGGCGACCGGGTGTGCAACTCCCAACAGCTGATGAGCTTCTATCTCAACTGTCAGGCGCACAGATGTTCTCGAAGCTTGACCTGAAGTCCGGGTATTCTCAGCTCGAGATCTCACCTGAATGTCGCCATGCCTTCGTGGTCGCCTCACCCTTGGGGTACTTCCGTTTCTGTCGTCTACCGTTCGGCGTGTCCAGCGGCCCTGAATTATTTCAACGTAAGATGGAGCAAATTCTGGCAGGATGTGAAGGGGTAGTCATCTACCTAGACGACATTCTGATTTATGCTCCATCATTGGAAGAGCATGATCGACGCAAGGCAGCAGTCCTGACGGCTCTCAAGGAGTACAATGTCACCCTGAATGACAAGAAGTGCGTCTTCCAGGTCTCAGAGCTGGAGTTTCTGGGACATCACGTCTCGGCGAAGGGCATTTCGCCAGGTCCATCGAAGGTTGAGTCACTCAGTCAGATGTCGGATCCCACCAATGTGGCCGAACTCCGAGCATTTCTGGGCTTAGCAACCTACGTGGCAAAGTTTATTCCTAACATTGCCTCGGTTGTCGCTCCGATGACAGCACTATTGTCTGGCGAGTGGAATTGGACATCGGCTTGCCACACCGCAGCTGAGAAGATACGCAGTCTGATTACTAATGCACCTATTCTGGCGCTATTTGACCCAACGCTGCCGACCCGCATCGAAGTTGACGCGTCTGGCCATGGCCTTGGAGCAGTACTCCTACAGCAGTCGCAAACAGATGGTCAAGAGTGGCGACCTGTCTATTACGCAGGCAGAAAGTTGTCAGATGCAGAGTCACGCTATGCAACCATCGAGCAAGAGGCACTGGCGGTCGCGTGGGGCTCTAATCGTTTCCGCAGCTTCATCACCGGCATGCCTGTGACCATTATCACTGACCACAAGCCACTGGTTCACGTATTTATGCCGTCGTACAAGCTAGCCTCAGCTAGTCTCCGAGTACAGCGCCTGGTGTTGAAAGTGCAAGACTTGACCCTAACCGTGCAATATCGCCCCGGCAAGTTGAATCACATTGCTGACGCATTGTCCAGGCTGCCGGCTGAGGATGCTGACCCGAGTTTCCTTCTCGTCCATGCTGTCACCGTGGCAGACGGTGTTTCAGCACATCGCCAGTTGATTGCCAGAGAAACAGCGCGTGACTCCACTCTGTGCTCAGTGCGAGATGCGCTGCGATCGGGTAAATGGCCGTCGGCGACAGAGCTCGCACCGTACCAAGCCCTTAGTCCGGAACTCAGCGTGTGGCCCTTTCCGAACTCGTCGGACTTTCTCATTCTGAGAGGGGAAAGAGTGGTGATTCCAGCATCGGCAGCTCAACACGTACTGAACCTGGCTCACGAGGGACACCTTGGTCGAGACAGGACACTGGCTCAACTCAAGGAGACTGTGTGGTGGCCCGGTTGGAACACGGCAACTCGACATTTCCTAGCCAGCTGTACACCATGTGCGACAGAAGCTGCTATACGACCAGTACCGCTGAAACCACGCGACCTACCTCCACACGCCTGGCACACCGTCGCTATTGATGTGTTTTATTACCAGCAAAGCGCCTTCTTCAGCCTTCTGGACTTGTACAGTCGGTATCCAGCAGTTGTCCGCTTACCAGCTGAGAAGACCAGGGACATCATCAAGGCGCTGGAGCAGATCTTCACGCTGTTCGGCATGCCACGGCACGTCATCTCCGACAACGGTGCACAGTTCTGCAGCGACGAGTTCCGCAACCAGCTTGAATCGTGGGGCATCAGCCACGAACGCACTGTGCCTTACACACCACGTCAGAACCCTGTTGAGCGTCTCCACCGGACATTGAAGCAACATATGCGGAAATCCGGCATGCCACGAGCAGACGACGCTCTTCGTGTGGCGCTCAAAGCTGTTCGATCAGCTATCAACACCACTACCGGCAAACCGCCGGGAGATCTCCTACTACGAGGAGGTTATCGTACTCCACTCAGGCAGCTTCAGCCAGTAGATAACATGGCTACTGCCGAAGATGACGACGAGATAGACGAGGAAGTGCGTGAACGCGATGCTCAGCACAAGGCAGCATCCAAGGTGACTTTCGACGCAGCTCACCAAGCAAAATCCCGCACTTTGGTGCCTGGACAAGCAGTGTTTGTCAAGCAACCCTCTGGCTCAACTGAGAAAGCTACCATCGTCACAGCAACACCACATGATGCAGTCATTACGACCGAAGAGGGAGTGACTTTCCGCCGTCATCTTGACCGTCTGCAAGTGGATCCGACGGAGGTAGTAGCAACAGCTACTCCGCTAGATTCCACAGTTCCATCAGCTCCCGGCAGTCCAACGGCCGCAACACCTAGTACTGTTCCGCCAGCTGCTGGCCGTCCGCAGCGTACGACTCGAAAGCCAAGTCGTTATCAGTAGACCGCTGGTCTTTTCTAAGAAGGGAGGAAATGTGGTAGTCCCACTGAACTATGGCTGATAGTTGCATGACTCTTGTTGTAATGTATGTTTTGTCTCTGTCATTGATGCGCTTTCAGTAATCTGCTGATACTAGTATGCTAGAAGCATCCTAGACCTACCTGCACTGTGTTCCTTCTGTACGCATTCACCACATACTTGGCATGCCCTATCCCTAGCGCTGGGTAGTACCATGCAGTCTACCAGCGACGTAGGTCGCACGTGATACTTGTTGTAGTGATTGTACATATTGACGGATCCTGGCGCAAGGTCGAGGAGATCAAGAGAGAGAGCCCGAGAATGGCGGCCAGATCCTGAGTGTCCTAATTTATTATCCCGAACCGTTTTCCTTGTGTTTATTCTTATTGCATGTATTGATTAATCCCATTGCTGGATTGAACCGTGTTGGCTGGTGTGAACTGAGTGACGAGTTGACTGAAACAGTTTTAAAAATTCTAAATTCAGTAGTCAGTTTCGAAATTCCTCTTCTTGGTCTCTTAGATATCCACTCTCCGAATATGGCCAGTAGCTACCCAGCAGGAACAACAGATCCGCTATCATGGTTTTTGAGAGCTACCCTGTTGCGCCTGGGCGAGATACCCTGCCAACGCCCTCCAAACCCGTCGGTTCTGCAAGTTCAACTCACCGTAGAATATTCACTGGTTTGAGGGAAAGACACAGACGTAGAACAGTAATAATTTTGTTTAAGTTCAAGCAGATCATTTTGTTTCCAGGAGGCATTCTGAGCACTGCCAACTTTCGAAATAATTTCAAGCGTATTTGCGCTTCGGTCTTCGACGCTCAGTAATCAGGCGTCGCGCAAAGTCAAACAACGTATCACTGGAGCTTTTCTTCTCTCACCTTTCCAATGATTCCTCAGTGGTGGGATTGGATAACGGACAGTAGACTTACAGCAATTTTAACAGTGGTGTATATGCAGCTGTGGACAAAGATATCCGATCCGCGAGTCAAAAGTAGCGCCACTTTTGCACTTCCATTACGCCATGCACAGTACGAAAACCAATCCCATGGCTGCAGGGGCTGCATGAGCCTTAGCGCTGCTTCAGCACGTGGGTCGGTCGGTTGTTTTGGCCAAAGCTGTACACTGTGCAAACGTGTGCATTTACACGACGGCAAGAGTACATAACCCCCAAGAATGTGCAACTGCCTGCACAACCCCTATGCAGTGCTGCGACGGCAGAACTTCACATCACGTGACCTGGTTCAAAAGCTTACGCTGGCAAACAGTTCAAAGTGACCACAAGAGAGTTGAACCCAAAGCAGGGTTGCGTACAACCCTGTATCTATCATGCACAGGGTGCAAATAATGTATACGGGTTCGTCACGTTATGTAAAGTTCTGCCATCGCAGGCCCCATTGCTGGAGGTGCAAACTCTTGGGGGGTTATGTACTCTTGACGACACATAATCGGGGCATGACGTTTTGAGAATTTGAGGCATGCGAGCATGTGGGGCATCCTGATAATTCAGATCTTAAGTCAGCATGTACTCCACCGTTCTCTGGTTTGAGACTCCGGCCACTAACATCTCCTTGGTTTTTGTAATAATTGATATTACTGTACTCGCGTGATTAGAGCCCTATCTTGAATAGTGCGCTAGTCTCTAAGAGCCAGTGAAAACATAAAGCCCTCTCTTGAATAGTGCCCCCCCCCCCCCCACCGGCTTGTAACCAATTAACCGTTCACCCCCAATGACGTGTTTTCATCACCACTGTTGAATAGTGGTGATAACGACGCTAAATTGTATTAATATCCTTCACCAGGTGATGAGCCATGTAACTTGGCAGTGTCATCATGTTGGGTTTTCTCCTTTCAACCTGTCACTTCACATGCAGGTGTCACATGTTTTCACCCTGGTGTACCTTTGAATGGCGCAACATCTCCTTCATTGACTACCACATTGTTTCCGTACAACAGTGCTATCAAATATCAGTGTACTACTGGCTTTTCTTTGAATGGCTCTGGAACTATCCAGTGTAATGGGACTGGTCACTGGTCTGCCCCCGTACCCACGTGCAACAGTAAGTCTTCAACTACATGTACATGTTGAGTGTAGATTTGTGAAAATTGGCGGTATGATTGCTACCATTTGACTTGTTTCTGAACTAAACTCAGCGTCCAAAACTCTACGGACCATGAAGTTGTGATTTTTGGGTGAAGTTCCCCTTTTTAAGTATCTTACATCAATTGCCAATGTTGTTATCACCACTGTTGAAAAATGGTGATAACAACGCCAAATTTGATGCCCTTCATCAGGCAACTTGGCAGTGTCATCATGCTGGTATTTCTGTTTTCAACCTGTCAAATTACATGCAGATGTCACATGTTCTAACCCTGGTGTACCTGCACATGGCACAAGGTCTCCTTCATTGACTACCACATCGTTTCTGTACGGGAACAATGTTAGCTATCAATGTACTACTGGCTTTTCTTTGAATGGTCCTGAAACTATCCAGTGCAATGGGACTGGTCATTGGTCTGCTCCCGTACCCACGTGCAGCAGTAAGTCTTCAACTACAATCATGTACATGTACATGTTGAATGTAGATTTGTGAAAAATGGCGGGATGATTGCTACCATTTGACTTGTGTCTGAACTAAAATCTGCCGTCATAGCGTGTGAATGAGGTCCACCCAGGGATAAAGGGAGTCAATTTCGAGCGAGATCAGAATTTTGGCCATTTCCGATGATGTATGGTCGATACAGACATTGACTCTTTAAGCTGCATGCACCTGATGATAATTTATAGATCTCGGGTCACCGTGCACTGTATCATTCTTTGGTTTGAGACTCTGGACGCTAAAATCTCCTTGGTTTTTGTAATTGCTATTATCAGCTCGTACAGCACCCCCTCTTAACCCATTGAACGCTGATGACGTCTATAGACGTCATTGAAAATGCCCCCCATGCGCGGGATGACGTCTATAGACGTCATGGGATATATAGTGATTTCCGTCACTATCAGGTGTGTAAAAGTACTGTTAGTCAGTTGGATCATGATCCTGCCTCTTGTACGATAGGTCGTCGGTACGAATCCCGCTTGGTAACACTATGCGTCTTTTTTTCTTCTCTTTTCAGCGATCTTTCAGTCGCAATTGCACACATTTAGCGTATTTCACGCAATTTGAGCAAACTTGCGTCCCCTATTGTGAAGCGCTATTCTTTTCGGGGACTGTATCGATTCTGTCACCCTGTGGTTGATAGTCTTGGCAATCATTTCCAAAATATTTGAGGACCCAGTTGCCAGAACCCAGGAGTTTTAGAACTTTCTATTTGCCTTGTTTTTAGCATTTTATATGCAGAGTACCATAGGCAAGGCCCAGTAGCGCTGAATGGGTTAAAGGGCGCAACGAGAGAGCTTGGAAGCTCAGGGCCCTACGCTATGCTTTTTTGCCTTGATGACCTAGACAAAAAAAAGCATAGGGATGTTATAAATTCTTTAAAAAAATCCTTTTTTTTAAGACATAACCTGGGATTCGAACCCGCACTATCGCGCGCCCTGCATGCATCCCCCGATACACTTCGCATACATACTAATTCTTCCAAGTTGTTTCACATTGTGATCTTGCATTTGAAAGCCCTACTTGAATATGCATTGTGGCCAGCCGTGGCACGGTACGGTAGGGGATAGGTACGGGACAGGTACGATCGAGGGTAATACGACACCGTCTCCCGTACCGTACCGTACCATCAAACACAGCTGGCCACATACAGCTGCCCGCAATATTCAAATAGGGCTTTCAAACGCAAGATAATAACGTGAAGCAACTTGGAAGAATGGGTATGAATGCGAAGTGTATGGGGGAATGCATGTAGGGCGATAGTGCGGGTTCGAATCCCAGGATATGCCTGAAAAATAGGAGAATTGAAAAATTTATAACATCCTATGCTTTTTTGCCGTCAGATACGGATAGCGCCAGGCGTGACACAAACAAACAAACAAACACACACACAAATACCAAATTAAAGCTGTGTGGACCCTGGCTAGCGCCATACGTTACTGAAGTAACGTCTTCTGCATAGCTACGGGAATAAAGTACCTGGTTAACAGAGATTATTTATCAAACCAGGGAAAGGTATATTTACGGTTAGCACAGTGCACTGTACACTATAGTTATACTACAGTACCGTACATGCACATGGAGCTGTGCGTGCACGGTGCTGTGTATTGGGCCTGTTCCAACTTAATGCACTGCAGCAATCAGTAAAGAACCTACATTACGAAAGGTACGAAGACTGTAAACTAAAACAACTAACTTCAAGAACATGAGAACAACGGAAGATATAGAAAACGAGCACGGCAGGACAGTGCGTAGATTACTAAACTATTCATGCTCGGATATGGTACGATGCACATAGAGAGTGTGCTCAGGTTACACACTCAGACATGAATGGTGACAACATGTGAATGCATAAGGCCGGGGCATAGAAAGGTCAAACACTGACCTGGATTGGACATCCGTAACAGTGGTCAGCTACGGCTAGGCTATAGCATACAATGCATGTAACAGCCATGAATGAGTCTCAGTCGACCTACCAAGCATGACCAGCACTAATGCACTGGACTACAACTATCAAAACAAAAGAAAGACCGGAATATTCTAGAACAAATCTAACATACCTCCCTCACGAACGAAGAGTGATAACTAGCATCTGAGTGAGTCTAAGAAAAGAAAGTGCAAATAACGTAGCAATGAAGTGAACTAACAGACTGCAAGTAGTGTTCACTCAGTACCTTCGACTTCAAGGGGCACAAGCCGATGAACAGCTCGCTTGTAGAATCTCTCAGCCACCTTGACCTTCACTACTCGAACAATACCATCCTTGCCAGGATAGACCTCTGTCACACGCCCAAGCGGCCAGTGTGACCTTGCGGTGTGCTCGTCCATCACAAGCACAACGTCTCCTTCCTGAACGTTACGCTGCTTCTGTAACCACTTCACTTGAACGTTCAGCTTTGGGACGATTTCTTTTAGCCAGCGCTTCCACACATCGTCGATGATGCGCTGTACGACCTCCCATCGCTTCCTTGGGTGAACTTGCGTCTCTGTAGTTATGTTGACTTCAGCGGCCATTGTAGAATTGGCATGTCCAACTAGGAAATGCTGTGGTGTCAATGGCTGAAGGTCCTCAACATCTGACGTCATGGTGCAGAGAGGACGACTATTGATGAGGTCTTCGGCGTTAACCAGTGCCGTGTGTAATTCCTCGTCTGTCAAATCAGCTCTGTACAGCACACCCTGTAGCACTCTTTTCATGGATTTGACCATCACCTCAAACACACCGCCGAAATGAGGCGCCCTTGGTGGGTTGAATGCCCACGAGATGCCACGTGACGTCATCTCCGCGGCAAGCCTGGAGTTGTCCAGTGACTTCACAGCTGCTCTCAGTTCTTGATCTGCCGCGACGAAGTTGGTACCGTTGTCGGACACCATCTTTTGTGGCACTCCGCGGCGCTTAGTGAACCGGCTCAGAGCTAGCAGGAAACCGGCAGTATCTAGAGAGTAGACGAGCTCAAAGTGACATGCTCTGGTCAGGAGACAGGTGAAGACACATACATACCGCTTGGCCTGAGATCGACCACGACCCTGGCGTGTGTGGAATGGTCCAGCATAGTCCACTCCGACCTTCGCAAATGGTTGTTGTGGTCCAGACGTTCTGAAGTTAGGAAGCGGTGCCATTGCTGGTGTTGCCGTCTTGACGTAGCGCTTCCGACAGAGAATGCACTTGCTCCTGTGCTCTTTGACTGCTGCCTTGCCTTTGACTATCCAGTATTCACCAGCGAGCAGTGATAGAAGGTGGTTCGTACCGACGGCATGATTGGCGTTCGCATCGGCTGCTGCGATGATTAGCTTTGTTCTTCTGTGACTTCTCGGTAAAATCACTGGTGTCCGAATGCCGGGTGGTAGATGGTGTGCAGTGCGAAGTCTCCCATTGACCTTGAGAACACCAACGCCACTAGTGGCATCTAGTACTGGTTGAAGCTTTTGTAGCGGTGAGGATGCTGAGAGGCCCTTGCCTCCTGTGACATCTGCAAACGTTCTGCCATAAACCTCTCGCTGAGCCAAGCTGATCCATACCCACTTAGCACTCCATAGCTCGGACACTGTCAACTCTGGCACGGAGACGTTTCTCCCAGTTGGTAGAGTTACGGACTTGGTCGCAATCTCAGGACTGGCGGCTTGCGTGCTGCGTCGCCTAGCATTGTTGACGAATCGTCGACACCATGCGGTTATCCGTACGAGGTGATCCCAGGAGGAGAAGTGGTCTGGATGAAGACGGCTTGTGGGCAGCTCTTGCGTAGTGGCCACCATCGTGATCTCTCGTTTCAATTGACCTGGAAGCTCTGCTGGCGGCACGATGTGCTTACTGGGCCATGTGGAGGTGGGCTTGGACAAGAAGGCTGGACCTGTCCACCATGTTGCATCATCGGCCAGCTGCGTCGCACCAACACCTCGACTTGGCATATCAGCTGGGTTGACTGTGGCGCTGACGTGACACCATTGACTTGCATTACTGAACTCTTGGATCTCCGAGATGCGGTTTCCGACTTCGATCTTGAATTTCCTGCTGGGCGATCTTACCCAGTACAACACATTCATCAAGTCAGTGTAGAAGTACTGCCGTGATACAGGAACATCAAGTGCCTCACCCACTGAGCAGCTCAACCGAGTGCCTAGCACTGCACCTTGCAGTTCCAGCATGGGGATGGTCTTGCGCTTGATAGGTGTTGGTCTTGCCTTGGCGAGCGCTAATGTCACCTTTGCAGTCCCGTCATCACGCTCTTGTCGGGCGTACGTCACGGCGGCGTAAGCTGATGCAGACGCGTCTGTGAAAGTGTGGAGTGTCAGAGGCTGATCTGAACTGATCTCGGTGAAGCATCGGCTTGCCTTCACATCTCTCAGACTTGGGAACTCTGAGAACCATTGCTGCCACTCTGATGCTTGATCACTGTCCAGAGGATCATCCCAGTCTGTTCCACGGATGCAGGTGGCTTGGAAGAGAATGCGACTGCGGATGGTGAATGGACACAGCTGTCCTCTGGGATCAAACAGTCGGCACATTTGACTGAGCACTCCTCGCCGTGTGAACTGGACGTTGCTCGGTTCTGGATAGATGAATGTGAACTGGTCATCATCTGGCTCCCAGGCGACTCCAAGAGCCTTGTGAGGAAGAGGTGGCAGTTCACTGCTGGCTATGGTCATCATCTTGTTGCTGGCTCGATCTTCCGGTGGGATGGAATCCAACACCGCTTCCGTATTGCTCATCCACTTCCGCAAGTGAAAACCACCACGCTGTGTAACTTGTTGAAGGTCACTCCGAGTGACGATTGCAGATTGTGCTGACGGTAGCGACATCAGCAAGTCGTCCACGTAGAAGTTGTCATCAATGGCCTTTGCTACCTCGGCGCCAGCCTCGCTGCTGAATTTCTCTGCCGTTGCTTTCAGTGCTCTTCCTGCGAGGTAAGGTGATGCACGCATGCCGAATACAACCCGGCAGAA